GTGACCCCCGTGTCCTGTGACAGAGCCTCATGGTGTGACCCCCGTGTCCTGTGAGAGACCCCCATGGCGTGAACCCCCTGTCCTGTGAGAGACCCCCATGGCGTGAACTCCCTGTCCTGTGAGAGACCCCCATGGCGTGAACTCCCTGTCCTGTGAGAGACCCCCATGGCGTGAACTCCCTGTCCTGTGAGAGAGCCTCATGGCGTGACCCCTGTGCCCTGTGACAGAGCCCCATGGCGTGACCCCCCTGCCCTGTGAGAGACCCCCATGGTGTGACCCCCTCCCATGGTGTGAATCCCCTGCCCTGTGAGAGAGCCCCATGATGTGAACCCCCTGTCCTGTGAGAGACCCCATGGCGTGAACCTCCTGTCCTGTGAGAGACCCCCATGGTGTGACCCCCCTGTCCTGTGACAGAGCCCCATGGCATGAACCCCCCCATGGCGTGAACCTCCCCCTGTCCTATGACAGAGCCCCATGGCATGAACCCCCTGCCCTGTGAGAGACCCCCATGGTGTGAACCCTCCCATGGCATGAACCCCCCACCCTGTGAGAGAGCCCCATGGTGTGACCCCCCCGCCCTGTGACAGAGCCCCATGGTGTGACCCCCTTGTCCTGTGACAGAACCCCATGGCATGAACCCCCCACCCCGCCCTTCCGTTCTCCCCATCTCCGACTGGGGCGGCATGAGAGCCCCCAAGGGGTGGTCTCCTATTGTCTGTCCCGTTTCCCGCGGGGGCGGTGTGAGGGACCCCCATGAGGTGACAAACCCCTCCCTGCCGGGTCCCCCCGCCCCGTGCCGCCCCACGGACACTCCCGGCACTACATCTCCCATGGGGCCGCGCGGCGGAAGCGGAAGCCGCGTCCCTCCGGCGCGGCACGCGGGCCGCGCCATGGCCGCCGACGGCGGCGGTGGCGGGCGGGAGCTGCTCGCCCTCATCCACGAGCACCTGCTCCGCGGCGGCTTCGCGCGGGCCGCCCGCGAGCTGCAGGCGCAGAGCGGACAGGTGACGGGCGGCGGGCCGGGACGCGGGGCAGGCAGCGGGGGCGCGGTCCCGGAGCGCGGGCCTCGGCGGGGCCGCAGGGCCCGGTCCCTTTCCGCGCCCTCACCGACCACCGGAGCGCCACGCGGGTGCCGGGAGCACCGCGGGCCGTGGCTCCACGCCGGACCCACGTGGTGTCCGGCACCCGGGATGCTCCCGGTGCCCGCGGGCCGTCCCAGCCCCGAGCCGGCCGGTAGAGCCTCCCGTACCGCGGGGCTGGTGCTCCCCGAACGCGTGCTGCTCCGGGAGAAGTCTCCAGGGAAACACGCGGCCCTGGGTGCAGCGGGGCGGGGAGTGGGAGGGATTCGCCGGGAGGTGTGTGCAGGGAGAGACGGTCCTGTTTTCCTGGGGAGGTTTGGATGGGCCCCCGTGGTTGCTGCTTCTGTCTGGTGGGCACATCTGAAATTGGGTCACATTTGGGCCGGTGTTTGACTGGTGTTCACTCTGCTTTCACAGAAATTACTCCCTTCCTTCTCGACCTCTCTCGAGGACATCTTTACCCACTGGGAAAAGTAAGTCACAGGAGGGAATGAGTTTCGGATAGATTCCAGACTGTGCTGACGTCTAGGCTGCATGGCACGTGTGATTTTTATTTGTTGGAATTACATGTAGTCAGAGGACTTCCAATGATAGCTGTGCTCAATAGAATTTTCTCCTAACCTCTGATTTCACAGCAGTTCCTTTCAGATGTCCGGGGCTGTGCTGCTTTAAAACTTCCTGAGCTTGGAGATAAGTTGTTACTTTAGTTTTGAGCAGCTGAGCTGTTTGTGTTGGCTGATGCTGGAGTGTTGCATAGCTCAGTCATGCTTTACTGTAAGAAATATCCTTCCCTGTTCTGTTTCACTTTCTTTTTAAAGCCACGTGCTTTGCAGGATTATTGACCCGAGAACAGAGAACTTGAGCAGGTGCTGGAAATGCCAGAGCTCTTACATGGACTTAAACCTTGGCATAGGTCACAGATGATCTGACTCAGAGGAAATCTCCTGGTTTCAGCCTGTCCTTTCAAGTCTTTACATGTTCCAAATGCCTTCCTGTATTGTTATCCCCCATTTGAAGGTCTGCAGGAGAGAGCTTTCCCATCTGTGATATTTGCACCCACCCTGTGCTTTGGTTGGATGTTGGAGTGAGCACTGCCAAGGCCTGTGGCAGCCTCAGTGCTGGCTTATCTGGGAATCTGTGGAGTTGGAGCTCTGGAGTGAGGATCTCCTCAGCATTAGGAGCAGCAGCCTTGGGAAGTGTTTCTTCAGAGGTGTTTCTGCTCAATGCCTCGTGCCTTGCTCTTGTCCTCCATACCTGAGCAGGAGAAAGGCTGGATCTAGAAGCATAGAATTAGGTTTGCAGTTCCTCCCTCTCACAGTTTGTTGCTCTCATGGGTGCTGATGGTGACCTTCCCACGTGCTGGTTATCCTGCCTGCTGCAGCAAACCCTCCCAGACACTGTTGCTTTTAAACTTGAAGGGCAACAGGGCATTTGCATCAGGTTTAATTCTTCTTTCTTCAGCATCACCCTTCTGTTCTGGTCCTGCCCCACATCTGTTATTCCTGAGTTCTACCTGCTTGGGAGTCAGAATGAGGGATATGTTGGGCAGTATCTTTATCCTGGAGTGCTCCTGTGAGTGCGCTGGCTTTATCACATTCTATTGCTCATAGGATTTTGGCCCAAAAATGTCCTTCCTTAATCTACCCTGTGGTTCTTGTCCTTCTCACCAATGCCACCCCTGTAGGTGTTCTCCAGTAACTCTTCCAGACTGAGCCTAAAGCTGAGTCTTGCAGTTCCATAAGTGGCTTCCCTCCTGAGCTGCATTTACACTTGGAGGATGCAGAGAGGGAGTGGAAGGGTCCCTGGGAGCTGGAGAAAGCTGGACCAGCTCAGTCCTAGGAGCAGCCTGAGCCCTACAGGCCTCAGATGTTCCAGAATGCCACAGGGACAGAGCTAGCAGACACCATTTCTTCCCCTCACAGGGTATTCTTGAGCTCCTGGTCACTCACACCAAATTATCACATCAGTGCGTGCTGTGCTGTCAGCTGCCACTGGACCAGGATGGTGTTGCAGGATCAGAGCTGCCTGTGGGGGCTGCCCTGTTACTTTGTTAAAAGGATTATTGGAGTAGTTACAGGACTTTCTAAGAGCAAACGTGCCTTTGTCTTTTCCTGCTTGCACAAAACTTGCTGTTACAGCTGTGCTGGCAGAACACTCTGACACCAAGCACAATCTTTACTCATCAAATTGCTAAACAAATCTTGTTTTTAAAATGGATGAACAAATAAAATGAGCTAAACTGGCCCAGAAATGAGACTGTTTACTTCTGATAACTGTGTGTCCCAAGGCTTACAAGCATTGCTCGTGTGAGTCACACCAGTGTGTTCCCAGTGTTACCCTTGTAATAAAGCAAATGTGTTGTCTTTAATTCTCAAATGAAAACATGGGTAACTTTATCATCTGTTCTGGTACAGGTATGATTTAGTGCCTGGAGAAATCTTTCTCCAGCTTAATGTTTTAACCCAATTGAGCAGCTTAAGTGTTTAATACTTATGTGGCCTCTTCCTCCTCTTTTTCTAACACATTTTCTGTAGGTCCAGCCACTTCCTTTCTTAAAGCTCTCTGCAACCTGACTTTCCTTTTGACTTGGAGCCCAAGTTCAAATGGCTTTTGTACCCTTTAGATTGGCTTCTCCTGGCCCTGTGGAATACCAGGACCTGGTATTTTGGGAATATTTGATCTAACCCTGAGGCTATACTTACTCTGAGACTGTAGCTGCCCCTGGAGAAGGAGTTTTTTCTGTAGGATGCCTTGCATTGAGCACCAACCTGACTGTGTATGTTTTTATTTCTCTACTAAAGTAAGAAAGAGTCTGCCTAGGTCACAGAAAAATCATCTAGGTTCAGTATTTCTCCTGAGTGCTGCAGGAATATATTGCTCTTGGAAGTTTACTGAGGACTGGAGATGTCCCTTGCAGGTTAAAGAAGTATTTCCCACCCCCTTAGGAATTCCTCTGTGGAGAAATTACACTGCCTATTCCTAGGCTGGAGCCTGATCTGAGAGTAAATTAATAATTATATTCTAATTTGCTCAAGATATTTTTTCCCCATTTTGACACCCATTGTCTTCCCTCAGAACTCCACCAAACTTCAAGAGAAGAAATGTGAGTGATGAGGAGGCAGCTATCCCAGAAAAGATCAGAGTTCCTGATCCTGTGAGCAGTTCTGAGAGCTCAGAGAAAGAAGAGGATGAAAAAGAGAAAGCAAAAGCTGCAAATGGTAGGAGCCTTTTATCTCCCTGGAGTTGACAGAGTAGGACTGGGGGCTTGTGTAGGTGCAGCCCAGCTTGCTTGGCTGGAGAAAACGCTTGTAAAGTGATGGCTATTTGTTTGTGCTCATAGAAAAATAGGACAAGTAATTTAGCACCCCCTTCTCATGTGGAGTTTCGGAGGAGCACAGATGTCTGCTGAAGCTAGAAAAATCCTGTTATGATTCATTGGGGAGGGATGGGTGTTGTTGCTCAGATGAAGCTTTGGGAACCTCTTTCTGCCCACTGTGGAGCACCTTGTAGTTGGTCCCAGGTGTGTGTTGGGCCGGTAAAAGCAGGCCTGTTTCCTGGGTCAGGGAAGGTCTTGTTAGTTGGTCTGGAAGGCCAGTGCTCTGTGTGAGGTGGGGATAGATCTCGTTTGCAGCTGATGTGGGAGGTGTTGGCTTGCAGAGTCTAACAAAAACCTGTGTCTGATATACTTTGGCAGAAAAGCCTGATCTGCTGTAGACCAACCTTTAGAAAAATGAAGATCCTGACAGATTCCCTGTCCTGGAGGCTGGGAGAGGGATGGGGTGGGGAAGCAAAGTACTTGCCTGTCACGGGGACAGCAGTGGTAATGGTCTTGGGTCAGGTGTGCAGATGGGACCCTGCCCTGCTGCTGGGGTCCTCCTGCAAACCAGAGCCTGTGTTGGTGTGAGAAACACACTCACAGAGCTGCTCTGTGGCTCTCCTTGCAGCAGCCAGCATTTCTCTGGCCACAAACTCGGTAGTGAATATAGAAAGCAGCGAGGAAGATGAGTCCTCGTCGGAAGAGGAGGCTCCAGCTGGGAAAGGTGCAGTGACGGTAAGGCAATGCTCCTGGCTTTGCAGGCTGATGCTACTCTGAGGCCAGGACTGTCCCTGACTCCTCAGCATGTGGAGAATTGTGTCCTGGCATGGAAATCATGTTTAAGTGACCCTCCTATGCTGCCATAAGCCTTTTCTTAGATATCTGTCCCCCAGATGCTGCCTTGAAGAGCTCTATGGCTTGCCTTGCTGCCACATTACTGTTGCAGTTGTATTGTCTCCAGTTTAGCTCCTCATCTGTGAGGAGCTTCTAAGTTCCTTTATTTCCCATAGGTGACAGCAGCTGTGGTGGGTGGAAAAGCTGCCAACTCCCTGCATTCTCCTCCCAAGCCTGCTGCCCCAGCAGGTAGAGCAGAGGGCCTCTCTGCTGCTGACAGAACTGTGCTCTCTAACAAGCAGCAGCCCAATGCCCCAGCACCGGCTCCAAGCCCAGCCAAGGCCCAGAAACTGCCTGGTCCTGGGAAGCCTGGACATGCCACAGCAGCTGTGGCCAAAGTAGGACAAAGCAAAGCACCAGTAACGACCACAGCACCGGAAAGTTCCAGCAGCAGCAGCTCCTCATCTGAGAGCGAGGAGGAAGAGGAGACACCAACTGTGAAGGCCCCAGCCCCCAAAGCAGGTAAGGAGCTTGCAGGGTGGTGTAGATGTGTGTGAGCTCCAGCTCTGCTGCAGGTTGGATCAGAGATGTGCTTTCAGCATGTTCCTTTGAGCTCCCTTGCTGAAAAGCTCAGAGTGATGCTTGTTCCTTGGGGAGGCTGCTAGAACATTGCAAAGCAGCCAGCTCTGGAGCTCCGTGGGATGAATGCAGCATGCTTGCTCCCATTTCAAGCAGCAGATCCTGTGCTAAGATGTCTGGCAGCACCCAGCACATACCCAGGGGTTGGGGCTAACAGTGTAGCATGTCCGGAGGAGGTGCAGTACTAATGCTGCTGATACTTTCAGCTTTATGGAAAGACCCTCCAGTGTTTTCTTTTTATTCCCAATTGCAAAGTGATTCATTTTGGGGTTTGAAGTCTTCAGGGAAATTTTTAAATGCTTTGAAGTGTGTCTGTGTGTGTTGGAGGAGGAGGGTGAGAAATAGATCATTGAAGTTCTGGAAATGATCCTTCTCTTGGCTCTTATCCAGAGGAAGCCCAGCCAGGCTGGGTGCCCCTGCAGGGAGCTATGCATGGCTGGGCAGTACCCTGTAGGGTCAGAGGGTGGCCAGGAAGCATTTCCCATCTCTGCTTCCACTCAAGGAGAGGTGTTTATGGGTCAGAATTTGTCTGGAGAAGCTATTCCCACACAGCCATTGATGATTTCAGCAAGCCTAGGTCCTCTTCCTCCAAATCCCCTTAGCCCTCTCTGTGGCCTGTTTTGTTTCCCTGACTTCAAAAGCCACATTTGCATCACGCTCTGGGGGCTCAGAGCAGGCAGCAGCTACGACATCTCCTCACTTGTGTTTCAGAGCCGTCAGCTGGGGCTAAGAGCAGCAGTGAGGAATCAAGTGAGGACACATCCTCTGAGGAGGAGCTGACAATTCCACCCATCCAGGTAACCTCTCCAGCATGGATTCTTTGTCCCTAGGAAATCAGTTCTCCTCTTTTGAAGAGAGAGGAAATGCTGCAGTGCTGTATTCTGACAGCACTTACCTTAAGTGTGTGAGATCACCTAACCCAAAGCAGAACACCATGTGCTAAGTGGCTGAAAACCTCACTAAACCCTGCCGACATCAACCATTCTAGTGGCCTGAAACTGAGGGAGATCCTTGGATCTGTAGGAGGTGATTAGTATGCAATTTGATGGATATTGTCAGGCAATCCATGGAGAAAGTGACTTGCTTCAGATATTCCACAGCTCATGGGTCTGAAGAAGCCTGTACTGGTCAAAATTAGCAAGGCAGCTGGCTTTAGAACAGGTTCCATGCAGTTAGTGCTTTCAGCCATTTTCTTCAGAGGTGTTAACCTGATTCTCCTGTTCCCTTTTGTTCCTCCTGTTCCCAGGCCAAGCCAGCTGTAAAAAAAGTGCAGTCTAATGCAGCACCTGTGAAAAGTGCACCTGTTACTTCAGTGTCCCTGAAGAAAAATGCAGGGAAGCAAACAGCACTGGCAACAAGCCAGGCCAAACCAGCATTGACAACGGTTCCTGGGGCTGCACAGCCCAGTGACACATCAGAGAGCAGCAGCTCCTCAGACAGTGAAGATGAAGAACGTCCATTAGTAACCCAAGTGTGTGTCTCTGAGATCCTCCCTCTCCTTGCATGCCTCTCAGGGCTAGGAACTGCAGTGAAAAGAAAATTTTGTAGATGCATGTAGTGTGTAGCAAAGTCATGTTGGGGGTGGGAGGAAGGAGGCGTGAGGTGTTAAAAGGCACCTCCATGTCTTTGCTCTGAGCTTTAATCAACCCATTGTGCCTTTCTTAGAAAAATCCATCAGTACTTTTAAAAGGAAAAAAAAAACAGTGATTCTTTTCCCACCTGAAGAGGCAAATTATCGTGGTGGAATTTGCTTCTCAGGTATAAATTGCAATAAATAGTGTCTAATTTGTCAAAACCGTAGTGCAACTCAGCTTCCCTGCTGCAGAGAGTGCATAGTGCTGCCTTGTACCTCACTGGGGGGGACTGGTAGTAGCAGCAGACTGATGAAGAAAGCTAGATGTCGTGCCAGTCACAAATCTTTCTTCAGCGTTTGCCTTTCCCAGGGGGCTCTGAAATTTCTTCCCTTCATTATAGTCTGAGAAAATGAATTATGCTGCTGTGGGATTTGCCTTATTTCACTCTGTTCATATCTTGTCCAGACAAAGCCACCTCCAAAATCCTCCCAGGCCGTCCCATCCCCAGTGAAACCTACACCAGCAGCATCACTCTCTGTCAAAGCAGCTCCAGCAAAAACACTTCCACAGTCCCAAGGGAAGACAGCATCAAAACCAACAGTGCCGAAGCAGGCTGAACCCACTGCTGCTCCCACAAAGCCTGCTGAAAGTATAAAGCCAGTGGAGAGCTCTGCTTCGTCAGCCAGTGAAGAGGAGGATCTCCCTGTGCCCATCAGCCAGAAGGTAGGTGCTGCATTCAGCCCAGTGCCAAAGACAAGCATTTATCCCTTAAATGCTGCCACTGATCTTGAAACACCAGGAGTACCTTGTTTCTCAGTCCCTCGGAGAGGAAGGTCTATTTGGAGCTAAGTACAGCCTCACTCTTCTCACGCAGTTGTACCTGAGGAGGTGGGAGGCAAATGGTTTGATACTAGCTGTTCACTCGTGCCCTGCCCCTCTAGAGTGGCCTTGTGTGCAGGGTCACAGCTGTCTTGGTCTTGGCTCTCCTGTGGGGGTGTGATCAGAGCTCTCAAACCAGAGAAGGACTGGCAGCTCACAATGGACTCAGGTGGGTAAACTCAAAGGAGTGCGAATCCCTTCCTGAGAGCATCTCTAGGCACATTGTACTGAGACCTTCTGCCTCTAGTCTGAGCTGGAGGGCCCTTCAGAAAGTGCCCTGAAAGCAGTCTTTTGGAGATGCAGCCTTACTGTCTGCAAGGGAGGAAGGGAAGCTGGGGGTAGAGCCTCACATGTCCTTGCAAGGAGGCTCTTTGTCAACACATCCTTTGACTACTGACAGGCAGGAGCCAGCAAGGCTCTGCATTTTTGTCTTCATAGCCTTGGTCTGCTAAGGTGGGTGGAGGGGGACGTTTCTCTCACAGTTGGCTCTGTGCTGCTCTCTTCCTGCATGATTGATTGTATGTGAGGATTCAGCTTTAAGTGACAGGAACAGCTATTTGATAGTTGTGCCAAGAGGTCCCACTGTAAAACCACTGAGATTTGTCCATTTTAGCAGGGTTTATGTGGTGGGGTAGGTTTGTGTCCTCCAGTGTTGATTCTGTGAACCTTTCAACAGCAAGTTTTACCTGCTGATTTAACCACTTCAGCATCTTCACACTTGCAAACTGACATTTAGCCCTCAACAGCCAGAGTCAGCAAGGAAGAGCTTGTCATCAAGGGAACTCTATTTTTGCTGTACAGACTGTTCCTTCCCATGTTAGTAGCCTACAGGCAGGGACCACGAGTGAAGCCTGAAGATAAACCATTGGGCATAGCTGTGTCCACAGTCCTGTCCTCCCAGTAAAACTCTTCTTAGCTCATTTCTCACCATCTGCTACTTGGGCATATGCTAACCACTGACTTACTGTATCCTGCAACTTCCTCTGGCTTCTGTGTAAGATCCAAACAGATACAGAGCGTTGGAAGCTGCTTCATCTTTCCCTGTGGGGGTGGATTAGCACAATTAAAATGAACATCATGCCTAAATTGAACTGCTTAATTGGTATGTTTACCCCTGAAGACTCAGGAATATTTAGCCAAATAAGTTGACAAGGTGTTCGCATATTCTGGGGGGAAAGGAATGGTGGTCGGGGTCAGTCTGACCTTAAAGATGCTGTGAGCTGCTTTTCTTTTTGGAACTGCTAATTTTGCTCTGCTGCTTCTATCCTGAGTGTTTTGAGCCAAAGGTGGAACTTGAGCCTCTATAGACAGGCTTTGGCTTCTGTTTACAAGGAGTGGGTGTGAGATACACGTGCATCCATGTGTTGGGAACCCGTGTCTTCCTTGAGCATCCCAGGAAAACCCGCGTGGGTTGTGCTGACAGAAGTTGTGCCAGCAACTTTTAATCTTGGACTGTAGGCTGTGTGGGGAGAGGCCAGATCTCCCAAGAGACAGAGGCTCTCTTTTCCTCCTTGAACACTGTTTTCTCTCCTGTGCAGGTGGCAGTTGCCCCTTGGCTGGGCCACGACACAGCTGAGATGCTGTTCCAGCGCTGGTACAGGCAGTGCTCACACAGGCAGTGCTGGAGTGGGATTTTACAACGTGCTGGGCGCACGTGGCTCAGTGTTGTTCCTCCTCTTGTCATGCAGCGCTGCAGGATGCAAATGGACCCAGCAAGTGGCAGATGGGTTGTGCAGGAGCTGAGTCATCACACTCACTGAGCCACAGGCAGCTCCTGCTTTGGGGGCTGGAGAAGGGAGCAGGAAAAATTATTTCCTCTTGAGTTATTTTCCTCCTTTCTGAATTACTTCAGTACCTGTGACTCTCAAGCTGTCAGGAGCTCTCTGCCTGTGTTACCTGCTCCTTGGATGTAACTTGCCTGTGCTGATGGCCAGATCCCAACTGAGACTGTCATCTATCTGATGTGGATGGATGGACCTTGGCTGCCTCCCAGGAAGTTCTGAGGCTGTGTAAACCTTATGGTGGTTTCTGTTATGTTCTTCCTGTGTTATGAGGCCCCTGCGCGGCAGCTCTTTCCTACTCCGTTGCTAAGTTAGGAAATGGAGCAGCCTATGCTGTGCATCCACACAGAGGGAGAAGCCAGACCATTGCTGTGAAGCACTTAAAACTCAGTGGGCTCTGATCTTGGTAAGCTCTTCCCTTGCACAGCAGTGTTCAGAACAGCAGAGAGAAGTTAGCATGTTCAGAGCAGTGTGTGTGAATTGTTCTGACTGCTTCAAGTACTTGTGTCTCTTCAGCATTGCAAAATGGGTCTCTCTTCTGGAGATTGTGACTCACTGGTATCAAAACAAAACAGAGAAGTGAGGTTTGCAGTCCCCCCTCCCCAAGCACTTGTGGAGGTTTCTGTTTCTCTAAGCAGAGTCAAAATGTGCTTGGCTCGTTCAGAGAGCTGTTCTGTAATGGGATAAACATGCAGATGCTGTTGTCTGTGTAGTGTTTGGCTTGGAGATGATAAACACTGCCCCAGTGGCAGCCCATGGCAGGGCTGTGCCAGGAAGCACAGTAGGATCGGTCTTCCCGAAGGGCTGCTACGCTGGTGCTCACTGCATTAGCAGCATAGCAGGAATGGTGCAGCTGGGCAGGAATCTCTAATGGATCTCCAAAGCAGGCTGGCATCACATGCAGAGTGCACAGGGCCTGTCTGCCCTGGCAAACAAGACGTACTTGGCAGAACAGCCCGGAGATGAGCCATGAGTAGAGTAAATGAGCAGAGCCCTGCCAGCCTGGGGAATATCTGCAGGGGAGGAAATTCCCAGATCATTCCACAAGTGCCTCCTCTCCTCTGCCACCCCTCACCTTTCAGTGTGCAGGAGGGGGATCTGCAGCCGTTGGAGAGGGGACAGGAAGAGAGAGAATCTTGCCTGGCAGTTGTGTATCTGAGGCACAGGTGACTGTGGCTTTCCTGTGACAGCAGGAAAAACAGCTTGTGGTTTGTCCTGGAACATCTGAGTGTTGACAGGTGCTGCAGAAAGACACACCCCAAGTGAGTGTCAGAGGTGTTTTGTTGTCTGGAGTTTCTAAATTCTTAGACCTGTTGACAAATCAGCTTCCAAGTTGAGTTGCACTCTGTCTCTACCTGCCCTGTGTTCCTAGCCCTTGTGGCAGCCCTCTGTCTACACTGAGTTCCCTAGCAGCTCTGGGCTGTAGCTGCTCTAATGCTGTCTCTGAATCTTGCAAGTGTGATGGCCCAAGGCTTCCCAACTCGTACTGATTCCCTGAACTGTGGCTAGGTCGTGCTTAAATGGTTTCCTTGGAGTGGGAGTCTTGTAGTTGCAGTGCTCCTTCTGTCCTCAGACAGTGTCTCTGTCTCAAGAAAGAATTGCTATTAGAAGCTTAGAAGCACTGTTAGCCTGTGTGGTCATGTAAAATGTGCTTGGGCTTTCTGTCAGAAGGATATTGTTGAATTCAGAGGGATCTTTCTACAGCAGCTCAACCCAGGCAGTGGCTGAAGCCCCTTGCACTCATAACACACCAAGGATGGTGAGAATGTTAGTAACAGCTCCGTTAGGGTAAAACAAAACCCAGCTTGAGCTGAAACTGCGCTTGAACTCCTAAACAACGCCTGTACTAATACTGCATTTCTGGGCCTGTGTTTCTTTTTTTTTAAGAGGTTATCAGACCAGCCCAGGCCTACGCCCAACGTGAGCCAGGCTGCTAAAGCTGGTCAGCCTGAAAAAGCAGTGGTAAGCACCTTGAAAAGCCAGGTTTCAGAAAGTGGGAGCAGTGACTCGTCTGACAGTGAAGAGGAGTCTCCTGCAGCACAGAAGCAGCCTCCACAAGCTGGTAAGCAGCCTGGTAGTAGCCAGGATCCCTCACCTGCATCCTTATGGGTTTCTTACTCTCCCCTGCACGTGAATCAGCTCCTGCTGTGGACAGCCACAGAGACAATTCTTTCTCACAGTGACAATCTCTTACGCTTTTCCTACAGTGAAAACCAATTCTGTGCCCCAACCAACAAACGTGAAAAAGGCACCAACTTCAGCACCAGTCACAGCCCCTCCAGCTGTGGACAGCAGTGATGATTCCAGTGAGGAGTCAGATTCAGAGGATGAAATAGTCCCCCCTTCCCAGGTGAGGAGCTGCTGACCCACTGGCTGTGTAGGCTTTTAGTGCTGCACACTCAGGAGTTGGGGGGTGGTGGTTGTGCAGGTGGTGAGCAGTGCAGAGGAGCCTCCTGTTGGCTGGATTCGCTTTCTTGGCCATGTCCATGGGTCTGGCTGACCCCAACTCTGGGTGCACATCTCAGACACAGCAATCTTGCAGTGTGTGAGAGCAGTGGAGACTATGAGTGCTTTGACAGGAACGTGAGTACACACACAAGCCCAGACCTTCCCTGGGACTCTGTCCCTTCTGCTCTACTCCAGGAATTTACATTGGAAAAGCAGCCAAATCCTTACAGGAGGAGTCTTTTCATGACCTGGGTAGCTCCAAGGCAACCTATCGCCTGGATCCTCATAGACCCCTGAAGTTCTTTGGTTTTCTCTTCCACGAGTCTTAAGGAGAGGCTCTGTCCTGAGGGTAGCAGAGCAGTCCTGCTGCCTTTCAGCTGAAGGAGCCAGGCCCTTGCCTTAGAGAAGGGAAGGTGACCCCATATCTGTGCTGAGAGCACCCCTGAAAGTCATGGAGCTGATCCCAGCTCTCCCACTGGAGTCTCTTTGTGTCCTCATGCCAGTCCTGCAAAGCTGTGTCTGACCTTCCTTGGGCCAGAGCTGCCTTGGTGTGAAGCTGTCTGGAGGGTGTCTGTACTTGTGCTGCAGTTTGAGCCCAAAAAACTGCATATAAAGCCCCACTGACTGAGGAACGTGGCTGCTGTTCCACGTGGTGGTGGCCTGGCTGGTATTCTGAGCTAGGGCTTGGTGGCCAAGCACATTTCATACCCCACACATGCCTTTGCTGGGAGGGGGACATTATGAGCATTTAGGAATCCCTTCCCCCTGTTGGCCTGAGGCTGTGGCCAGTGGAAAGGCTGTCTCCCTCGAGCTGATGGGCAGGCAGCCATCCTGAGCAGTCCTTGAGTACAGCATGTTTATATTACTGAGACTGTATAAAATAATGCATTTGCTGTAACTTGAGCTTTGTGTGAGAGGGCCGAGAGCTCACGGTGGGCTGGCAGCTCTGCACGGCCGAGCAGGGCCTTTTCCTTCCCAAGGCCAGATGATGTGTGAGGGAAATGTCAGCCCACAAAGGCCCAGCTTGGCAGAGATCTGGAGGGGGAGAGCTGCTCACATAGCCCTGTTGGTAACGCAAACCAGGAGGCTGAGTGCTCCTTCATGGCTCCTTCTCCCTCTTCTGCTGGCATTTATGTCAGGGCCAGCGCCTGGTTTCCATGCCCCCGGCCTTTCTATTTTTAACCCTTTTTATGGTAAGTTTGATGGGAGGTTTCAGATGTGAGGCAACAGAATTGTTCTTGTTCATTTGACCCCTTATCTGGTTTTTGGCTTCTGGACTGGAAGGCAGATTTTCCCTCTGGTTGTTGTCTTTGTTTATCTCTGTTGCCAATTAACTCTTGGTGTGTGATTTTAGAGTGTAAAGATACATCAGGGAGTCCAAGTGCCTGCTCTGCAAAGGTTTACAGCTACAGTCTTGCTGATGCTGTAGTGGATAGGGATTCACAGCCTGCAAGCACAGCACATTTCCCCTGCCTGCCCTCAGGGTAGGTGCCTTTGGGGCACTGAGCTAATGTTTTTGGCATTCTCTGGGTGCTGGCCCTCATTTCTGCTCCTGGCTGTGCCAGAGGCCTTGCTCAGGGGCTCATGGGAGGCAGAACTGGTATGTAAAGGAGACAATTAAAAAACAAAATGTCTGGGTGCTGCACTGAAAATGATGGAAAGGCTTAGGAGTTAGTGCTGGATTGGTGTATGCCTCTGTATCTTCTCCCTCCAAGTTTGCTCTGTCCTGATTTTCTTTCTCATCTCTTTTAGAGTGTGTCCCAGCAGAATGTCAGAGTAACTGCAGTTTCGAGCATGGTGGCTGCAAAGGCAAATGCCAGCCTGCCTTCAGGGAAGAGGACAAAAACCCCTGCTGTCCCTGCAGTGAGCAGAGTGTCTGAGAGCTCGAGCACTGTTGCCTCAGAGCACAACATGCTGGCAGGAAAGGTAATGATGGGGAGAGGGAAAAGATGGGTTTGCTGGGGTCTGGGGCTGGTGCTACATCCCCAGCTGAGGGAATGAAGCTGGGAGAGAGGGGCTGCTCTATCCTAACCACAATGATCATGCCCTGAGATCAGGCAGAGGAGCAGAGGGTAGCCCTGTTCCTGGCTCCCAGCTGGCTGGCTGCTTCTTTTTCTTTGTGATAGCAGTTATCTGCTTGCCTTGGGCTGACTGTGACACAAGCTGGAGCACTACAGCTGAAGAAGGGCCAAGGTGGTCCAAGCCCATCTGCTCTGGGCTGCTGCTTATAGTTCATGGATGTGAGCAGTTAGTTATTCCTCTTTCCAGATCTATTTTATCTCACTCTCCCTAGGTCCCTGCTGCTTCTAGCCAAAAGCAAACGGTTTCTGTGGGAAAAGCTCCTCCTGCCAACACTACCACCCCAGGAAGTTCCATTGGTAAGGCAAGGAAGGCAGTCCTGCAGCCAGGACAGGACACCCAGCCAAACCAGGCCGTGCCACCCACTCATGCAGAGGACACCTCAGACAGCAGCAGTTCCTCCGACAGTGACGAGGAGGAGGCACCCAAGCAGCCTTCCAAACCTGGTCAGTTCTCTGCAGAAGATGCTGTGGATGCTACTGGGAAGGGGACAGCCTTTTGTTACCCCATGGCAGGTTTGCTGTGGTTGGAGAGGCATTCCTCCTCTCCAACCTGGCAGAGCTCTCCCCTTTTTTTGGAGGCAGAAGGGCTTTTGGTGGCAGTGCCTGTGCTGGGAAGGTGAGCTCAGCCCCAGGCAGCAGTGGTTTAACAGGAGGAACTCTGCTCTTCCAGCAGGCTCCCTACAGAAACCAGGAGGGACCCAGCCAGCCCACAGCTCCTCCTCAGAGTCCAGTGAGGAGGAGGATGCAGCATCACAGGTATGGTGTCGAGCAGGCTGGATCCTCTCAGGTCTTGCAGCTGGCTCCTAAATAGGACTGAGAGACTCAATTCTCAGCCATAGCAGAGAGGGTGCTGGGTGGGTTTGCCAGCAGAGAAGTGTGGGTTCCCCATTGCAATGGTGGGAGCAAGACCTTTTGGCAGAGAGAAGCTTTTGATCTCAGAATGCTTCCCCAGGCAGCCAGGCCTTGGGTCCAGGGTTAATGGTGCCTTCCCTGGGAGAAGAGACAGGAAGATATGGTGCCTTGCAAGGGTTAAACCAGAACTTGTGTACAGTGCCAATAGCAGCAGGGATATTTTTCCCCCACTTTAGTTTGTAACTTAAGCCGTGTCCAAGACATGAAATTCCCTTTGTAAGAAACGTGCAGGGCGTGCAGCACATCTGCAGTGCATTAAGTGTGCGTGGGTGCACGCTGATGGCCAGGAGCCTCCCCCAAGCCTGCCTTGCTGGGCGAGAACAAAGGAGAACCTCTGGCCACCAGCTTTCAAGGCTGTCAGCTCAGCTGGTGTCTGTCAGTGCTGGCCCCTCTCCTAGTAGCCCTGGACTCTCAGACCTGGCTCCACAGGTGGCCAAAGGTGAGCCCTTCACTTGAAGTATGAGGACAATAGCAGCAGAGACAGAGCTGCATGTCTGGTGTGTGGGAGGCTGCCCTGCTGTGACTCCTCATGTGTCTGTGCTGTTTCAGTCCCTCCTCACAGGCTACCCAGTCCTCTCCAAGCCCCCAGTAACATCCCAGGCACCAAAGACGGTTCCCCCCCAGCCTGGAGGTGAGGTGGGGCCGGGGAAGGCACCTCAGAGTGCTGCAAACTCCCTCGCCAAGCACTCCCTGAAAGCAGCCCCGGCCAACAGCTCAAGCAGTGACAGCAGTGACTCCGACACAGATGACAACCAGGTGGCTGCAAACCACAAAGCAGGTGGGTGTCCTTTGGCAAGGCTGGGAATTGGCTTGGCCCGGGAGCAAAGCCGTGCTGGCACAGGAGGGTGGCACTGGGACAGGCCCCGTTCCCAGTGTGTCTCTGCCATGGAGCCACAGCGTGGAGCACTGCTGCCGTCTGCTGGCTTCCCTGGCCACAGCACAGCCTTCTCCTTCGACACCCTGCGTGTGCTGCCTGCCTCCAAGCTCAGTGCCTTTGCCTCTTCCAAGATGTGCTTTAACCACAGTAATTAACAGGAGCAGGTAGGACTCTCCCTGGGGCCAGTGCACACTGCATTGCTGGCTTCTGTGGAAGACTCAAACACTGCCTGAAGAACATCTGCTGCACAGTGCTGCTATTCAAGCCTCCCCTTGGGCTGTGTGGGCTCTGCTGCATGTCTGGAGAGCAGAGGAGGGGAAGCAAGCAAGAAGACCTGTGAGGAAACAAAATGTCCCACCATTTCCCTGGTTTGTTGGCAAATTGTAAAACTTGGAGATGGAAGCTACTTCTGCTCTGGTGTGACCCTGGCACCTTCAGAAGAACTCTGGCCTGCTGTAGAAGTTCAGATGGGTCTGTTGGTCCTTTGGGCACATCATGAAATTGTGCAAAGGGCTATTTAGGAAGTCAGAACTATCTGTATAGGGGCTCAAGAGGGCCCAGGGGCTCTGGGCTTGGCCATTGGTAGTGATTGCAGGAGGCAGTGTGGAGACCCCCACCACCTTGGGAAGTCCCCAGCTTACTGGGGATGCTGTCATGGGGAAGGACTGCTCATCTATGCTCACTCATCTTGTCAAACAGCCAAAGCTGTTCTGGCTGTTGTCACTTGCTTCAGGCTGAGGCATCTTACTCCAACTCTGCTTCAGATGCCAACAAGTTTAGCTTTTTTTCGGGAGAAGACCTGGATGCTTCTCTTCAAATGCATATTTCTATCCTCCTGTGATTAGTCTGTGTAATGAATGCTGCCTGAGTTTTCTTTTCTGTTTTTATCTGTTTCTGCAGAAAACAACCCCACTTCGGGGCAGGAAGCTACAGAAACCTCCAACAAAGAGAAGGTGGCAGAAAAACCAGAGCCAGGTCATGCCAGCCTCAAAGCTTCCTCACTGAAGAAAACCTTGGTGATGAAAGAGAACAATGTTGGGGCAACAGGGGTGCAAGTGACCCCAGCATCATCACATGCCCTGCTCTCCGTCCCACAGTCACAGGAGCCAAGCTCAGGGAGTGAAACTGAGGTCACCACTGCTGCTGAAGTCCCTGCAGTGGAGGGGTTGGAAGTGAAGAAGAAGAAGAAAAAGGAGAAAAAAGAAAAGGAGAAAAAGGAGAAAAAAGAAAAGGAGAAAAAGGAGAAAAAAGAAAAGGAGAAAAAAGAGAAAAAAGAAAAGGAGAAAAAGGAGAAAAAGAAACCATCCTCCACAGCAGACAAGGCTGTGAAAACGTCCAAGAGCAAAGACAAAGAGAACAAGAAGCAGAAAACGTCTCAGAAGCGGAAGCTGACAGGAGAGGATGGGGCTGTGGGGCAGCCCAAGGAGAAGAAACAGAAAGGGCAAGCTAATGAAGAAGTACCCAAAAAGAAAAAGAAGAAAGCAGATGGTGACCTGGAGAAGGAGGCAGGCAGCAAGGAAACAAAAAAAGCAGCTAAAAGTAAGCATTTGCACTTGATGCCTAGTTTGCAATAGGTTTTTGATTGCACTTTAAGCCTCTGGTGCAGGGCCTTGCAAATAGCACCCACTTCCCATTGGCTTCCTGCTTGGCTGCCGCCCTCATGGAGTCAGTCATGTGGCTTGAAAAAGGTCTCTTAAGATCAAGTCCAACCATTAACCCAGGCCCATCCCCAAACCATGTCCCCACATACAATATCTACACATCTTTGAAATGCCTCTGAGGTTGGTGACCACATTGCTGCCCTGGACAGCATGTTCCAGTGTTTTAACAACCCTTTTAGTGAAGAACTTTTCCCTGATATTCAACTTAAACTTGCCCTCGCTCATCTTGAGGCTTTTTCCTCTTACCCTGTCACTTTTGACCCTTCTACAGCTTGTTGTTCTGTAGTGGCCTTCTCTCTGCCCTAATCCAAAGGCCATTTTTTTTTCTTTACAGTGCAGCCTGTATTTGCAAATCAGAGCTGGTTTTGTGCTGGATCTGGTAGGCTTTAAAAAAAAATGGAGAGAGGGGATGTGGATTGGCTGGGCCAGGTCTGATGATGTTCTGCTGAAACACAGCCCTTACTTCTGGAGGAGACAGACTTGTCTGTTAGCCCCTATTGGTGTGAGGTGTTTAACAGGGATGAGTGGAGTCTCTTGAGCAGTTGTGCTGAGCTGAACCTCGTGTCCACCCTGTGCCAGCAGCTCCCCTGGCTCTCATTTCTGGCATGTGCCCATCTACTCCAGCCTTGAAGCAGTTCCTTGGAGCAGGTGGGCAGCAGCAGGTGGAAAGAAGGGAATTCTATGTAGTTCCACCCATGTGTGTGCACAGATGTTGGGATCAAGCTGCTCTGACTAAGGGGTATTAGGGAAACATCCCTGGGTGGAGCTGCCTGTGGGTAGAGCTCTACTTTCGACCAATTCCTGCTCTGGAAATCTTGCTCAGATTTGAATGTGATCAAAAACTTCCTGGAGATGCTTCTACCAGTCTATGCTCCCTTAGAGTTCCTCTCTTAGTTGGCTTTTCTTTCCCACTCCTAGAAAAGAAGACTGAAAAAGAAAAGAAGAGCAAAAAAGCATCTTTGGAAGTGGCAGCTGTAGCAGATGGCTCTGCTGAGGTGCACAAGAAGAAGAAGGTATGTGTCACACCCTGGGCTGTGGTGCTCATCCCAGCAGGAGATGTGAACAGAGCCATGTCCTGGCCTTGCTGGCAGTATAGGGAAGCCTGCAGTTCACTGTGGTCAGTCTTAAAACACCCTGACCTTTGGTTGGGATTAGAACGACTCAAGAGGGCTTGTTCCTGCATTGCTGCCCTAGGAGATTCCTTTCCCTGGAATGGTCAAACCCAAGGACCCTTTTGGTGGCAAAGGACTTAGTCCTGTCTAAGGAGTAAGTGCTGCTCTCCAGCTGTCTGCTCATCTCATTCTCAGCAGAAGCTGGAGCTCCTGAGGGCTTGGGAGGCTTCTGCATCCCATCCCAAGGGCTTGAAGTGGTGGCAGAGGGAGACTACAGGATGTTCCTTGTGGTGGCTGCCACCTCTACAAGGACATGTCAGTGAAGCCTCTCTGGCTCTGCTGGGTCCTTCATGTCTGTGGTGCAAATGATACTGATGTATTTTTCCCTTTTCCATTTTAGAAGAAGAAAGGAGCTGAGCCTGAAGGATTGTGAGAAGGTATATGGCCTGTGGGGACGGGCCATTGGTACCCTGGCAGCGTAACCTTGGCCACGTTCAGAACTCCTGGGCCAGTTTTGGGAAGACAATGTGACCTCTAAGAGCTCACTGGGCCAGCCTGGCCTTGGATCAGAGGGCCAGGGAGTGGAGCAGTGTGAGGAATGTCATGCAGCCATGTGCTGGCTTCTCTGGATGTGTCTGACCTCAACTCTTTAGCTGCTGAGATGTCCAGCCTGGGTGTTGCTGACCTCTGTCACCAGCAGAGATGAATGGCTTCTGGCAGTGTCTGTCTGTCCCTGCTGACCACAGGGAGCTTGGAAAAGTGATGGGGATGAGATGGTGATGTTGTAGCCACCTGGAAGTGGACCAGATGCCTTTGCACAGCTGCAAGGCTGCTCTCCTCCTCCCCATCCCTAACTTTTAACTCCTCTCCCCAAAGGTACCGCATTCCTGTGCTTAAAGATTTATGGGTGAAGATCAAAGAGAAGAGAGGAAAAGGAAGCTCACCTGGAGAATTCCCAACTTTTTTTAAAATAATAATTTATCATTTCTTTTAACTGTGACTTTTAGAACAGAGTTGTGTAACCTTCTGCCTCCTCCTGCCCTGCTGAGGCCCAGAGATGTGTTTATAATCCCTCCAGATGGAATGGAACTGGAGGAGGCAGATTGACCAGAGCATAAACTGCTTTTCCCTTTGTTGACACCCAGCCATCCCTTTCTCTTACCACAGAGCTATATTTTTGAGAAAATCTTTTACCTTTTCTCCCTCCTCCTGTGACTTGTGGTGTCAGTCCTTTTGCTACTACAAAGAAAGCTCTTGGGTTTCCTTTTTATTCTAACACTGACAGTGGTGATTATCATGTCCCTGGAGTTGCACTGAACAGTTGTGACCAGCAGCTGTTCTCAACCAAGGCAAGAGTCAGTTTTTGTGGGTTTTTTTTTTTTGTTGTCTTTTTTTGTTTGATTTTTTTTTTTATGAAGTATAAAATAAAAAACAACAAACAGATTTTACTTCAGCTGCTTTCAGGAGAGGCCAAGGCTGACTGGCTCTGGAGGATGTTACGGGTGGGAGAGCAGAGCCCAGTGTCTGCCTGTCTGGGGGACCCCAGAGTATCAATGAAATCAAACAAGGAATGGGACACAGAACACATGGGTGGAGATACAGCTGTCCAAGTGCCTGCAGAGGTTTTTCTTTATCTCTTTTCTCTTAAGGTTAATTCATTTATAACCTTGCACAGCTGCAAACAGCACACAAAGCTCTGCTGGAGTTGCTTACAAGGCTTTCTTATTTAAAAGTTTATTTGAGATTATTAGCTTGTGAGATCATTTATAAAGGAACAATCAGATATATTCAGGAAAATCAAAAGCCCCTCTGCCCATGGTTACCCACTGCTGAGGCTGTAGGCGAATCTATGTACAAATCCGAGCACTCTGCAATAAAAACCCATTACTCCAGTAACTAACAGGGCTCCAGCCTACAGGGATCAGTTAAGAAGCTGCTTTTAATGTTTGTTCAGTCTAAGAAAGCTTAAGGTCTTCAGCAGGGGTGAGCTGGAAGTAGAGCCAAACAGAACAGGATTTATGGATCTGAGGTGGTTGAAATAATTTTCCAGCCTGGTCTACCCACCCTCTGAGGGGACATTGATGGTGGTGGCAGCTCTGCAGCCAGGGAAGGGTGCCCAGGGATGCCCACTGTTAACTACCTTGGAAGAGCAATGTAAGAACAGAAAAGAGAAAATGCAGGAGCTAAAGGGGCAGGGATGCTGAAGGCAACTGCTGCCATCCTCTTCTACTCTCCTGTGGGAGAACAAGAGGAGGTAGTCAGACAGCTCAAAGACTTCCCAAAACCCCTCTCCTCACAACCTCCCCCTCCAGCAGTCCTCAAGACTCTGGGGACACTTGGACACTCACCTTTGCCTGGGCTCAGCTTAAGCATGTCCACCCCAGAGAAGATCATCTCCTCTGGATCTGGGGTGCCAGCAGCAGCACTGGGAGCAGCAGTGCCTGCAAAGGGAGGGCAGGATGTGTGTGCAGGACCCTGGGGCTGCCCCATCACCCACCCCCATCCCTCTGAGGGCAGCAGAGGAGAGCCTGCACCCACTGCTGAGCAGGGGGCTCATGGAAAACCCTGACTGCACACCTCAGCTCCAGCTACCTGCGGGGGCTGTGGATTTTTAAAGCCTTGACATACTGGCACTGGATGGGTGAGGGGTGCTCCCTGAAGCCTAGATGCCCTCTCCTAGCTCTCTTCCTACTCCCAAGCAGTCCATGCACACTGCTCCTTCCTCTCCATCCCCTCCCTGGCGACCTACCAGGGCAGTCCAGCTTTTCCCGAGTTTCAGTGTCCTTAATCTTGGTGCCATTTTTGTAGCAGCACCAGCAGAAGCCGGTGGTGAAATTGCACTGCTTGGGCATGTAGTCACCATTCTCATCGCACTGGGGGCGGAAGTGGCCCACCAGATCAGTCCCAAAAGTGGCCTCTGCTTGGCACTTAGTTAGCACTAGGGCAACAGAAACAGAGGGGACACTGTCAGCCCCCAGGCCCTTCTCAGCAGGAGATCCTATCCAGAAACAGTTAAAGGTGAATAAGCTCCTGCTCGGTGACCTTTCTGAAGCTCTTGGTCTAACCAGGGATGGAGGATTTGGGGTGGGGTTCCAGCCTTTTTTTCCACCCCAAATGCCCTACAGGCAGTGGGCAGAGATGCCCTGCGATGTTCTAACAGCCACAAAACAGGGGCTTCCCACAGAACAAATTGGTCCATGACTGGAGGGAGGGCTTGGTTCCCTGTGAGACGTCCCATGCCAACACCTCCCTGATTGCCTGAGCTCCCCAGCTCAGCAGCCCCATCCCCAATACCTTTCGCTGCTGGGATTGCCTTGTGGTCCTCCGACTGGGGGTTCTTGGCCATCTCAAACAGCAGCCACTTGTGCATCCAGGACTCGAAGGACTACAGTGACAGGGTTATGGGTTAATGGGCATGGGGGGAGTTCACCCCAGGGGAGCCACGTCATGAGCTCTGGCTTGGACAGGGAAGGTGGTGAAGACCATCCCTTTCCTTTGGGTAAGAGCAGCCAGACTTTGTTTATCCTGATAAACAGATGTCCTTTCCCAGAGCACTCCTGGACAGAAGGCAGGTGGGGACAGGATGACAGTGACAAGCACTGACCTTCCAGTCCACATGAGTCATGGTGCTCCTCAGGCGCTTCAGGTTGTCCATCAGGTTGTCCTTCAGCTCCGGGAACATCTTGCTGGGGTCTGCTTGCTGCAGAGCAACCACCACAGTGAGGGCAAAGAAAAATGAGGTGGAGGGGTGGGGGTTGGAGCTCTGCTGGTATCAGCCAGACAGGTGCTGCAGGAGGTCAGAGCTCCCAGCAGCTCTGAGCACCCCGAGAGACCCCAGACCAGTTCAGGAGGCAGCTGTGGGCTGGGGAATCTTACCAGCAGCACGTGCTTCACTAGGTCCTCAGTTTTGTTGCTAGCAGGGGCCTTGGCCTCAAGAGAAAAGGCAAAGGGGCAGTGTGAGCACGGCAGCAAGGCCTGAGGGCAGCAGGCAGTGCCAAGCAGCAGGGATCTTCTCTTACCGAAAAGTCTTCAAAGGGTGCAGGATGCAGGGCACTCATGACCAGAGGTGTGTTTGCCTTGGCCATCTTCATCTTATTCACTGGTTTGGCATCTGCCAAAGAAGGAGAAGTGTGAGGGGACCCAATCGGCTTGGGTGATCTGGGAGGGTCCCGGAGGGATTCATCCCTTCTCCCCCTCCACCTCCCAGCACTCTGGTGCTCATGGGGCTACTGACTGGCAGGCAGCTTCCTCTGCAGAGCCTCCAGCTGCAGGTTCTGCGAGGTCTTGGTCAGCTTGCTGATCTGCCCACTCTGCTGGTACACGTAGTAGACGGTGACAGCCTGGCCGACAATGAGCAGGGCCACCAGGATGGAGAGTGTGGAGAAGGCAGCTTTGCGCCCCAGCCCAGACCTGCGGGACACAGACAGGGAGCTCAGCCACCCACCGTGAGCAGGAGGTGACATCCTGCTGTCACCCCTCCCGGCCCCAGACACTCCTGTCACGGGGGTTTGCAGCCAGACAAATGCAAATTCCCCCATTGCAGAGAGCAGAAGTAAAACCTCAGTGCCCCTCCACACCAGGAACTGAAACCCACTGTGGGGCGGGGGAAGTGGGGACAGGGGAGGGGGGACGAAGGGCACGTGGGTGGGCGCTGCCAGGGGATTTTGAGGAGCAGCATCACTCTGGGCATCGCCTTTTGCGGGATGATGAAGCCCCTTGGAGTCTCGCTGGTCCATGGGGCAGAGGACACGACTCACGGGGTGCCGGACTGCACTTAATTTTTAAAATGTTGTGCCAGATGCCGCCCCGCCGCGCGGATGTGGCACCGTGGAGGTGCGGCGCTGTCCCGGCTCAGCGCTGCCCCGGGCCCGGGACGGGCGCGCGCTGCCGAGTCCCGCGCGGGACGCGCCGCTCGGGCGTCTGCCTGGTGACGGGTGACGTCACCGCTCCGGGGCTCCTGATTGGCTACAAGTTACGGGAGGGGTGTCCCCCTGCGGGGTCGGGACGCGGGGACGAGCTGGGACATGGCGGGTGGGGGGGCAGCTCCACAGAGACTTTTGGGTCCAGGGTCCGCTCCCGCCCCACGGCCACGTCATCGGCCTGCCTGTCCCGCAGCCTCTTCCCACAAAGCTTCACGCCATGGCTCCATGCCCCACCCTGTGAGCCCGGCCACCCCACCGCCATGCCTTGTCCCCGGCGGCCCAGAGGTGCAGCGACCCTTTCATCCCGCTGCCACTCCGTGCCCTCCCAATCCCATAGCCACCCGATTCCCCCATCCCACAGCCGCCCCATGTCACCCTCCCCCTGCCGCCCCATGCCTCCCATCCTACAGCCACCCAATCCCCCCATCCCAGAGCCACCCCGTGCCTCTGCCTTGCCTCACAGACCCTTCCACGGCCCTCTTAGCTCCACAGTGCCCCATTCCCACAGCCTGCGCCCCATCTTCTGCCCCATAGTCACTCTGCGCCCCCTTGACCCGACTGTATCCTCTTCCATCCCACAACCACGCAATACCCCCTGCCCCACGTCCCCACCGTGCCCACTTCACCCAACCCCGTGTCCCCAGCAGTGGCACCTCTGGGTGTCCCCAACACTGAGCACACCGCTGGCGCGGTCAGAGATGAGGTCCCGCTGCTCCTCAGCCATGGCTCCGCTGGGCTCCCCGAAGGCAATGAGCACCCCGAGAGAGGCTTCTGGAAATACCCTCGGGTCCCCACCCCGCCCTGACACCCGGGGGGGGGGAAGCCAAAAAAAAAGTCCTATTGGCTGCTGGCACTTGCATCACTCGTTGTCAGGCAGACCTCTGCTCCAGAGGTCTCCAGTTCAGAAATGGTGCTGGACACGGGCGTGAGCTCCCCGGCCGCTCAGTGGGGTTCACTGCCCACCCCACACCACCAGCAGGTCACCGTGCCCAGCTGGTGACACCGGTGCCATGGGCCCAGAGGCTCTGGTACCCCTGCGGGGGCAGGAGGTGAGAAAAGGTAGGTGGCTGTGGGGAGGGTGAGAGGAAACGTGTGAGGAAGGAAGTGGGGCACAGAGCTGGGACAGGGGGGTGGGACACCATGGAGGGGACCCCTCTCACCAGAAGCTGAGCAGGACTTTCTGTGGGGGCACAGTGCCAGGATACACCCCGCCTCTTCCCCTGCTGCAAAAAAAGCTGCACTTGGGCTCAAGCCCTTCTTGAGGGTCACTCTGGACTCTCCCTGTGTGGGGGTTCTTGGCCAGCACTTCTCAGGCTGAGAGGGCAGTGACTAAAGGATCAAGGGCTTTCAAACCCTCCTCCCCTCTAGCACTATCCTCTCTGCTTTGCCTGCAGCAGCTTCCAGGGCTGAACCCCAGAGTCAAGACAGGAGGAACAGCCCCTAGATGTGAGTGATCCCAAAGCACCAGTGGGAGAAGGGCAATGAGGGTCTCCAGCCACCCCCACAGCCCCACAAGTGCTACATGGGCAGGAGCAGCCATCCACCCCATAATGGTGGTTTCTGGTGGTGTTACACAATGTCCCAGAGCAGCCCTGGGGTGACAGACCCCGATGCCCACGCTGGGCCGAGGGTCACACTGAACCCAGCACCAAGCTGGCTCCAGTGTCAGGACTCAGCACAAACATGGCCAGAGCTCAGCCAAAAGTGAAACTGCGAATGTGGAGTTAAAAGTCCTACCTAACCCTGCCTAACCAGGCACCACCTGGCAAACCCACTGGGGCGAGCAGGGACACCTTGTTTCAGCAACTCCATTTCTTTTCCTGATTCAGTCCTGAGCCTCCCAGCGGGCAGGACAGCCCTGGGAGAGCAGACAAGGGATCATCTTACAGGGGGTAGGGCAGGGACTCCTGGCAGATGCTGTTCCTGGAGGAAATGTGGTGGCATGATGCTCCTGCTTTCCAGGTGGGAAATTGCAGTTCCACCCAGGGCAAGGGTTGTGGTGCCTGGAGCCTGGTCCTGACCCTGCAACCCAGCTGAGAATGGCCTGGGTGCCCAGGGGTTCACACAGCACTGCCCCAGAGCATCCATCAGCCTCAGCCCAGGCCCATAACAAAGTTGTGTTTAGAAACCATCAGAGGGGTTTGAAAAGAAAATAAAATGGGAGAGGGGATTGAGAGAAAAGGGAAGAAACAGAAGTAAGAAAATGGGAAGAAAAAAGGGGGGCAAAAGAAAAGAACACAAAAGTCTTCCATGCATTTTTTGCCTCTCCCCTCATGGGCACTGGGACTTTTGGGGGACACACAGGTTTTCCTCACAGCCCCAGATCCCACTCAGCTCCTCATTTTGGTGCCACAATCCCTGCCTCGAGGCCACGCTCCTGGTGCATTCCGTGACCAGCCTCAGCCATAAGGAGAACCAGAAAAAGTCTGAACAGGAACTTCATAAACAAAACCCCAACAATTCCATGGAACTAGGCTGGCTGTGCAAACCACAAACGTGGGTGATAACTCGGGGGTGGGGAACTGCCCCTTCCCAGGCAGGCTGAGTCCCTTGAGTCCCAGCCTGGAAGTCTGTCTGCCCTAATTCAGCCCCTGCTCCACACACAGACGTCTCCAGTCAGCTCTTCAGTGCTTCATACACAACTTTCTGCCCAGGGCTGACACCCAGTGTGTTCTCAGTCTGCAAATTGACTTTCCAGGGAAGACAAAGACACTTTCAGAGAGCAACTTCCATCCTGTCTGACCCCCCTCACTCTCCCACTGCCTGAGGCTGGCAATGAATTGTCACTGCCCTGTTACCCCAAGGCTTTGTATTTGGTGTTGCCCATCAAAAACTTCACAAGTCTTTTTTGGGGAAAAAAAGCCATCTGGAGCAAGGAGTGATTTCAGGACTCTGATGAGGACCAGGCCAGCAGAGCAATTATTTCAGGCAGTGAGGTGGAATAACCCAGCAGACATTCACAGGAAGACATTAATCACCAGTTGGGCCTCATCTCACAGCCCTCAGCCCCCAGACCCTGCACAAAGGTTTGGAGAACAGACACATATTTCCCACAGACCCTGAGGTGATACCCTCAACAGCACAGGATCAGCCCTGGGCAAACCTGAGGGGAAATGCTGAGCCACAGAACTCACCAGTGACCACTGACTGTCTGGGGATTGAGCACAGCCCCCAAACAGCGCCATGCCCTCCACACGATGAGCATCCCTGCCAGGGTGAAACAGGGTGGGCAGGCAGAGTGTCCCACACCCACACAGCCCAGAAGGCATCAGCCAGCTACAGCTACAGGGGGGTGCAGGTGATTCAGTTCCTCACTGAATCACTAAAGACAAGCCAGCTGGATCAGGCCAGGGACTGTCAAGAGCCAGGAGCCCCATCCATGCCCCTCTGACAGGAAGGCCTTTCCCTCCAGAAAGCCCCAGAACATAGGCCAGGAAGCTGCCCTTTGCTGGGGCTTTGGTTTCTCTTCCTCATTCATCATTTCCTCTTTGGCATTGAGCATCAACACAGGAAGCTGCTTCAAAGACATCACGTCGGCTGAGAAATCAAAGCAACTTTTACCTTTAATTGTGCAGTGATCCCAGGCACCAGCTTGCCCATGGCACAGCACTGCCAGGGCAGCACGTGGCACAGGCTGGGTGTACAGTGACTCAGCTCAGCCAGCACTGTGTGCAATTGCACAGCTCCAGCTTCCAAGGATTAAGGGTTAATAGAGTAACTCCACCTTCCCATGGAGCAGACACCTTCCCCTTTCTACATCTGGTGTACAAACCAGCAGGGCTGAACCGGTCTGGACCAGGGTGGGCAGCAGCGGGAGCGAATGGAAACACCTCCCTCTGCACCGAGATGAGCAGAGTCTGCTGAGCGTCTGCCACAGCAAAGGTCCTGCGTTGGATTTGTGCTGTAGAGCTCTCCCCACATGTGCCCCATGAAACAGCCATGGTGACGTCCCCTGGGACAGAGTAACTCACACGTAACACAGAATCACTGCGTTGGAAGCGACCTTTAAGATCGAGTCCAACCCATGCCTTAACACCTCAACTAAACCATGGCACCCAGTGCCACATCCAATCTTGTACTGTGGCTTTTCATCATGTAAAAATCATTACTAACAAAAAAAAACCCAAACCAACCAATCAACAAAATTACAACAAACCAAAAAACCCCACTAGCAGGAGAAAACTGCAACCCTGCCTACTTGCCCTGCCTGTGTGGACTAACGTGCAGTGCCCTCAGAAATGCCACACTCCCGCGGCACTCTCCAGAGCCCTCGTAGTCACTGCGGCTCCCTGGAGTAAAACCCCGCCCTGCACCTGTGTGGCTAACGAGAACAGCAACAGCTTTCACTGTATCCAGAGTATCAAAAGCCACAGTGGAGCTGTTGGTAACAGCACCCCACTCCCTTCTCTCTCTCTCCTCTGTCCTGCCCCCTTCCTCCTTCAGCTCCATGTCGTCTGAGCTGCTTCTGGTTTCATGCTTTTGACACCTTCTGCACAAGGGAATTCAACCACCACTTTAAGTACAGGAAAACAGTGATCCGAATGGCAAATGGGGCATGTTTAAGACAGTAAGGGAAGTTTATTCTAACATTTTCCATGGCTGCATATAAAATAACAAATAAAACACTATGGCTATGCCAAGGGAAATGCTGGCTTAGGAACAGATGTCCAGGCAGAGAGGACTTTTTCCACAGAAAGGGGAAGTGATGCATTAAACAACATTTTGCAGAAAGCCCAGCAGTAGTTGCTCACTCCCAGCCCAGCTTTCTTTTCCAGGAGATGCAAAAGATCGTGACTCATTTTAAAAGTAGCTTTTACTGTATGAAGCCCAAGACCCCTGTGGCTTTGGATCAGCCAGCCTGGTTCCTCTCCAAGCAAGAGACCCTGCTCCAGAGTACAAGCCATCTGTGGATGGAATTAACTGAACCTTGGCTTCTGAGCACACCCCAGTAAGAAAACACAGAGTTGAACAGAGGTTTAAGAGAGCTTTAATAACAGAAGGTGCTGCACTGGTTACAGACGACGTCCACGGCGACCACCCTTCCTGCGAGTGCTGTCGGAGGGGATGGGGGTGACATCCTCTGCAGGGAAAAAATCCAGAACAGTTAACCCCCAGATACCCCCAGAAACCACCTGGACACAGCCATCAGCCAACACTTCAGCACCTGGACACCACAGGAGCCGCTCGTGCAGAAGGAACTCTCTGTGAAGGTATCTGGGAACGTGCCACAGGCTGTGTACCCAGGGCTTTAATGCTTTGCAAACAGAAATTCCCATCTCCTATCCCACTTAAATCAAGCAACCAAAGCAGTTCAAAAGAAATGGGATGCTTGAAGAATTTTCAGCATAACCACCACCACTGCATCTTGTGACTTCCCCTGAAGTTCAGGACTCTCCCTACAACAGCTGGAGAACTCCATTATTACTGATTACTGAATCACCGAGACCAATAAGGTATTTTTAGATGACAGAAGAGCTGTGTGACACCAAAGGAGCAGCAGCATCCTGCTCCAAGCTGGGGCTTGCCCTGCACACAGAAGCCAGGGTTCTGAGTACTGCTCTCACCACCTACTGGTCAATTTGTCAATTTAAGGATCTGTTTATATGAAATCCTTTCATTGGTGCCATCTAAGCAGCCATGAATAAAGTCCCCAAGTTAAGATCAAGCAGCACAGATGCCTACAAAGCTCATTTCACTAAATAATCTCTTTTCCTCACTCACCAATGCGGCCGATCTTCATTCCAGAGCGGGCCAGAGCTCTCAGGGCTGACTGGGCACCAGGTCCAGGAGTCTTGGTCCTGGAGGAGAGTAAGAACCAACAACCCCTTTAATGACCCAGAAGCTGAACACAGTTTACAAACAGGCAGCAATATGAAAGCCACACTTTTCCCACGCCAAACCACTGCCCTTGTCTTCCACACCCACTCACCACCAGCCCCCACAGGCATATCCCCATCAGTGTCCCAACCCTCCTGCTGTACCTGTTGCCCCCAGTTGCACGCAGCTTGATGTGCAGGGCAGTGATGCCCAGCTCCTTGCACCTCTGGGCAACATCCTGGGCTGCCAGCATGGCTGCGTAGGGAGAGGACTCATCTCTGTCTGCCTTCACCTTCATCCCACCGGTCACACGGCAGATGGTTTCCCTACAGAAGGAAAAGATATTCAAAAGAAAGCCATCTTCCCCCAAACCAGAATATAGGCACAGTCAGAACCTATTATAAGCCACACAGTACTCTGAACACCATCTTGATCAGAAGAGCTCACCAAGCCACCCAGTTCATGTATATGCACCATGCATGAAGCTCAGCAGAAACTCAGGGATTTTGGTGGAACCTCTTCCCAAACCCAGTTTCTACTTTCACACCCGAAGGAGCTGGGTACTGCAGTGAGGTGACGCCTGTCTCATACTCACTTGCCAGAGAGATCAGTCACATGGACAAAAGTGTCATTGAAGGAGGCAAAGATGTGGCAGACGCCAAACACATTCTCTCCTTCAGCAACCTGGGGTCCCAAGCTGATGACCTGCTCTTCCTTCTTCTCCTTGCCCTTACGAGGTGCCATTTCTGAACAAAAATGAAAGAGATGTCTGAGCATTGGTAGTTTGTCACCATTTGTAAAGAATTTTATTAAATTCCTGCTAATTCAACATTTTACCAAGCAAGAAAAAATTATTTACCACTGGCAAAACACATGTACATTTCTTATAAACCCCATGATTCCCAGTTTTGCTGTATCCTGGCACACAGGTCATCATCTACAGCTGTTTAGTGGAGTCTGTTCTGCTGCACTTCATGGTAGCTGACATCCCCAAGTCTCACCACAGCAGTGCACAAGGGAGCTCATTTCCTTGATAACCAGCAATGCTGAGCATTTCCCCTTGTTTATGTGAGTTTATGGAAAGAAAACACCAAACCAAACAATTACACAGACTCGGTACTGCCAGTAAGCCGTGAATCTACAGACTTTTTAAGTACTAGCTTGGGTTCGTCCATATTATTGGCCTCCCAACCACATCCTTGGGACTAGCCCAGCTAAGTCTCCCGCCCCCGAAGCCCACACCCAGTGATGGGAGACAGCAGGGGCAGCGCCAGCTGTGCTTGGCTTCACGGCTGGGGATCCTGTGCATCCGCTGCCAAGCACAGAAAAACGGTTCCCTATTGCCCTCTCCTGCCAAACTCCTGCTACAACCAGCGCCCCGCACACGGGAGATGTCCAGGCACTGCACGGAGGTACCCAACCCCAACACAACCCACGATCACGCTCGGTCGTGCCTCTCCGCCAACTGCCCTGAGCACTCTAACACCAATTTACGTCAGCGTCTGCGCGGCCACTTCGACAGCACCACATCCCCTTCTCGGCACATCCATGGCGCACGGGCCACACGGGCAGTGCTCTCTCCAGCCCAGCGAGGCCGGCACGGAACGCGCAGCGCACGCTGTACCGCCGGCATCGAGCTCCGAGCTCCGAACGCGCCTCGTTTCACCGCGGCCCCGAGCGCTCAGGGTCCGAGAGAGGCCCGGCCGGGCCCAGCAGCCCCAGCCGGGCGCTCCGCCACTCCAGCCCGCGGCTCGCCCGCGGCCCCCGCGCCGAGCGCGCTGCCCCGCGCAGCCCCGGTGCCGCGGGGGCGGGCGGCGGGCGCGGGGGCCGCGGCGAGGCGCGGGCGGGCGGATGGCGGCGGATGCGGCGCGGCCCGGACTCACCTGCCCGTCTGCTCCGGCGGCCGCCGCGGAAAGGAAGCGGCGGGGCAGGGGGCGGGGGTCACCGCCTCACCCGGAAGGGATGGCGGGAGGCGGCGTGTCCGCTGCCGCAGGCGCAGGGCTGTGTGCCGGTCCCAGTGCCGGTCGCAGTCCCGATCCTTCCGGGCCGGCCAACCCGTGCCCGTCTGTCCCGGGCCCGAGCCGCGCTGCCCGGGACGGCGCGGCCGCCTCTCCCCTCACTCAGCTCTCCCGCCGGCCCGACCGCCCCAAGATGGCGGCGGCCTCCCCCCGGCTCCCTCCCCAATATGGCGGCGGCCTCCCCCCGCCTCCCTCCCCAAGATGGCGGCGGCCTGCCCCCCCGGCTCCCTCCCCAAGATGGCGGCGGGCTCGGGGGTGTTCGCGCTCCAGACGGAGGCGGCCCGGGAGAGCTTTGGAAACGAACCGGTTGAAAAAACAGCTGGAGGGAGATGGGTGTAATTCCAGAAACATCCTGCTTCCCCCCGGCTTTCCCTTTCACCCCGCTGTCAGGGCTGAGCATGGCGAGGAGTCCCGGGGGTCTCCAAGGCAGCTGCTTGTCCCTGCCCCAAGCTGAGGCCGGAGCCCTGACTGCGGGGAGGTGTTTGGGAATTCACCCACAAGAGAAAGCATGCGGTGGTTTAATATGTGTGAGTGGCATATTTTTGTCAAGGAGCTGATGGGAGAGGTTTCACTTGTAGTGATTCTTGCAGGAGCTCTGGCAGCTGATGGGAGAAGCAGAGACTGCAGCTGTGAGCGAGGGCACAGGAACACCTCCCTGCACTCTGGTGGGGGAGGTTTGTTCTACCTCAACAAAGAGAACGCAAATTTGTAAGTTTTTTTTACATAAAGGTGGTCCAACAAGGCAGTATTTTCTGTTTCCAAGTGATTTAAAAAGTGCTCAGGAGAGAAGGATGGGGAACACCAAAAACCTTCGGAACAGAGGCACAATGAAATTGAATTTATAGTGCTGTGAAATGCTTCCTGGGCATGATCCTGCCCTGCTTCCAGCTGCTTCACCTGGTGCTGAGCTGCCTCTGGGACACAGAGAGCTCTGAGCCACATGGGCTGGGGTGTGAGTGACAGAGCAGGAGCACCTGTGGGTCCCTACATGGGAACGCCTGACAGACCTTCAGATCTGTGCCCAGAACTGTGCTCAGAGCTGGGCTGAAGGAGGAGAAGCAGCTGGAAAAGGGAGGCTCCTTGTAACAGCACTGCTAGTGAGGCTGCGCTGTCAAAGGCCTGGAAACATCTGCAGGGAGGGTCCAGCTCTTTTGCAGGACTGAGGGTGTTTGGTACTGGCCTGTCAGAAACTTCTGCCTCCCTTCTCGTGTCCATTTCCTCTGAAGCTGTGGGGTGCTATGTTTTTTTAGGGTAGCGTCCACTTGCCCATATTGCCCATCCAGAATTCCTATACCTTTTTATTTTCTCTAGCCAAGTATTCCAGGATGCAATCCTCTGGGCTGCCACCAAGGAAAAGAGGTTTGGTCCTTCAGGCTCCTTGTTCCCTTGCACCCCTCCCACCTGTGCTGGGATTTTTCCCTGGTAAAGCGCTCTGTGCTCAGGGATGCCATTGTAACCCCCATCTTGACCTTGTGGAACACCTTCACTTGCTCCTGTGTTCGATTTGCCACTGCATCAGGGATCTTCCTGTTTGAATATTGAAGGAGAGGCTTTTAAAAGACACATTGGCAGAGCTGCTGTAATTCCAGCCGGGAGCTTCAGTGACAGCGGCTGTGGCCTGATTTGGAGGAAAGGGGAAGGAAAGAGTCAGCAGCAGGGAGTGCTGCAGAGGTCAGCCTGTGTCAGGGCATCTGTGCCGGGGGTACTCTGTCTGAGGAGGAGCCTGGGGATGGTGAGGGGTGCACAGGCAGCCAGGCAGGGTGGGTTTGTCCCCTCGGAGCCACGTGTGCTGCTCTGCCTGTGACAATCCTCCAAGAGGATTGTATGAGCCTGTGGATATTCCCCTGGAATAAAAGCAAACTAGAGGCAAGGAAATGGACAGGCCTCCACTTATGGGCAACAGGCTGAAATAACCATATGAGCTGCTAAAAGAATTAACCCACTGGTTCAAAATCCTGTGCTGCCCTCAGCCCCAAAGTTGCTGGGAGACAGACTGCTCCTGATCCCTCCAGCCTCTGAGCAGGATGGAATTTTCTCCACTCCGTGCGACACATTCTTCCCTTTCACTTTGCCTTGCACTAGTTCTGGTGTGTCTGCAAGGGAGCTGCCTGCCCTGCAAAATGTTCCTGGGGCTCGAATGCCAGCTCCAGCCAGGCTGTCCTGCTGCTGAGGACAGCGCTGAGAGCGTTCCCTGGCTGGGAGGAGAAGGGAGGGGCTTCCAGCAGGGGCTGCAAGGATTGTGTCCTCCAGCCTGGCTGGGAAGGATGCTCAGGCCACTGTGGGGTTAGTGCCAGAAATGATGTGTATTTGCTTTGAGAAATCCCCCAGATTTAGTTCCTTAATGGGTAATTAACATTCCAGCTGCTCCTTGGTAATAGCTTCTCCAGCCCATGGGAAACCCACAGACACGGTGACGCTGCAGGCGGATTTCATAACTCAGCTGGTGACTAAACAAAAAGGGCAGGCAAATGAGAATGCTGCTCCTAACATCTTCTCCTGCAGGGCTTTGGCCTTGGAGTAAACTGGTTCAGGCTGAGAGGGGTCAGTGGGAAGTGACTGGCCTGACCTGCAAAGGCCCCAGCTCCAGACTTCCCACAAGAAGGAATTTTTGGTGCTCACATATCACTGTCTTCATGGCTGTGACTTGTTCCCACAAGCCATGGACCAGTGGCCTTACTGGTGGCCTTGAAATAGAGACTGGAACTGGAAGAGGCCAAAATTCCCCCTGTAGCAGGCTGAACGGAGCAGAGTCTGCAGTTGTGGCTCTCTAGCAGACCCCTCAAGATGGCATCTCTCCTCTAACAGCTATGCAAAGAGACATTCAGGGTCCCAATTGCACCATTCACAGGTAAAAAAAACCTGAAGCTTTTCCATTTGCTTTTAAGGCCATTTTTAGTTCCAAGAAGGGCAGTTGGTGTATGCACAAATGTAAAATGATGTGTCAGAAACAGGCGTAGGAAGATTAAAACAGAAATCTCCAATGCTGAAGTTAAAGCACTTAAGGAATTGGCAGAGACTTCAAGAGCGAGTTTCTGGTCCTAATGAAGTTGGTGGAAGTGCTGCCATGGACTTCAAGGGGACCATAATGTGGCTGTAACTCAGTAGGGAGCTGGAAGTGTTGATTAATAAATTGGAAACAATGCGGAGGAAAGCCGCTGAACTGCTTTCTGACAGATGTGCTGAAGAAGAGCCTGTAGCTTGAAGCACGCAGGAAAGGAATTGGTTTCCTTTGTGTTTGCAAACAGAAGACAGGCAATAAAAAAATCTACCTGATACTCATGTAAAATGGCAAAGCTGGTATTAATAAATCCCAGTGCCTTCCTGAGCAGATTTCTGTTTCCAGTGGGTTGTTTTTTTTTTTTTTTTTTTTTTTTTTAAAAAAAGTATTCACAAATGCCAGACCTAGAATTCAACAAATTCCTTTTTCTCAGAAGAAATTATTCAGTGGAAAACTTTACCGCTTGAGATTGTGGATTCTGCAGATTGTTCTTAGAGTTTGGTGCGTGCCTTTGATTACTCATTGTTGGCTTTTTGCTCAATGATTTGTGCATGAATCTCCTCTGGCGGAGGTTAGTATGGCCTTGGAATGCTGTTCCCAGGGGAGATATTTTTTTCAGGCTGAGTTTGCAAATCATTTAAGGCTGAAAAAAATAATCCCTTTAATACCCTTTACAGCAGTCCGCAGTTGAAAAACTTGCTGTTTGTCCCTTTTTGTTTTCTGAGCTTTCAAGTAACTTTGGCATTTGCAAAATAATTCAGGGATCTTCAGAGAAAATGCTTGTGAGGAAAGTGAAATGTTTAAGGATAAGAAGTCTTTGACTTCAATGAACACTTAGAAAATTTGCAGCCATAATAGTCTGCCATTCTTTGTCTCTCTTTCCCCTACAATTTCCTTTTTTGTTTTCCTTTTGTTTGTTTATCTGCTTGCTCCATTTGATTGAAATTGCTTCCTCGACTCTTGTTCAGTCGGAAGCTCTCCCAGGGTATGCTGCCTAAACCAAACCCAGCAGACCTTCTGCCACATCTCATCCCCACGGGCTGGACATGAAACTTGTCCCCACGGGCTGGAGACGAAACCTGACAGGGTTGTCTTAATGCACCACACCGCTTCTAACGTGGGCAGTGAGACAGACCTGGGCTGCTTGTGTGGGTGATTAACTCTGGACCGGAGCGTGTCTCCACATGCCGGCACAGTCCCCAGCAGCCTCCGAGGACAGGACAGGAGTGGAGCAGCTCCTTTTCCCCCCGTCTGAGGAATGAAGGGAATTTTGTGCGTGTTGGCTGGGGGCAGCCAGCCAGTGACTTGGATGTGGCCCTTGAGTTTATCTTGGAGCAGGGGAGGAAAAGCTGAAACGATGTGTACCAGCACCATGAAATGACACCAGGGTTCTGCAGATGGGCAGGAGGCTGGGGACCTCAGGCTTGACCGGCTTTAGAAATCTGACACAAAGGGTGTGTGCACATTGGGGGAAGGATAAAAAGGCTCTGTGTAGGATCCTAACACCCCACTTGTACCAAACACACAGCCTGGGCCCTACCCTTTGGACACCCCACCGTGTTCATCCCGGGAAACAGTGGGAATGTGGGGGCCTGGTGAGAGCATCGCCGAGCACGGCGATCATCACAGGCACCGCGGGCAGGGGATCTGAGCCCTCCCGCCGGGGACTACCGCTGGGCTCACGGTCACGCCGGGGCCGGAGGGGGCGAGGAGCGGGGGCTGCGCTGGCAGGGCACGTGGGGCGGGGGCAGCCCCGAGCCCCGCGCGGCCCCGGCCCAGCCCCGGCCCAGCCGAGCCGCGGAGCCCCGGGGCGGTGCTGGCGGGGGCGGCGCCTGCCCGGGCGGCGGGCGGGACGCGCCGAGCGGGGCCGGGCCGGCGGGGCGGGCGGCGGCGGCCTGGCGGAGCGGAGCGGAGCGGAGCGGGCCCGGCGGCGGCAGGTACGGCCCGAGCGGGGCGGCGGCGCGGACAAAGGGCGGGCGGGGGAGCGGCGGGCGGCAGCGCGGGCCGGGCCCGCCGGGCCTCGCACCGCCCCGGCCGGGCTGCGCCGGGGGCCGGCCCGCCGGGTCCTCCCGGCCCCCCGCCCGGCCCCGCGGCGGAACGGCCCGGTGCCCTCGGGAGGAGCCGCCCCGGGCGGAGCGGGGGTCCGGCGGGGAG